TTTTAATGAAGATGGGAACAGTGACAGGGAAATAATATAATAGCCAATGCTAGGGGAGTAGGTTTTTCGTTTATAAAATTTTGTTGTTGTTCTCGTCTTGATTTTTACTTTATTACCTCGTCTCCATAGTTACTATTTGCAAATAGTCAATAATACTGTAGGTCCATTTTATTGTCGTTCTTTCTACTGCGCCGTTATAACACATTTTCATCTCATCATTTAATTTCTGTTGTGCATATATTGTTGTATAGAAGATATTTTAAAGTGATTCATCAGGTGGAAAACGAATATATAGAAAGAAAGATAAACCGATATGTTTCGCCATCTGGTGTACCTAAATTCATATAGAAATTTTCATAAAAGTGACCCGAAAATTGGGGCTAACTCGGTAACCCGTGGCCCGATTTTAACGAAACCTGTTTTATTCTGTTTCTATTACCATTTCATTACAAACATGACGCTATTGTGCGCCGTTTTTGCTGTGTTTAATTACGGACAAGCAAACAAACAATCTCAGAGTTTTAGTAGTATATAGATTATAAAAAACAACTAAACAATAATAAAATATTCACTCACAAAAACAAATCAATCAATCACATCTAAACTAAACAGTCTTTTATATCATGACACAATGGTTATACAATTTTAGGTGGTTATTAAATTTTCTGTATGAAAAATGATGTGGGATAAGTTTTTTTCCCTTTGCTTTTGTTAATCATTCATGTTATCAGTTAATCAGTACTACCTGAAATAGTATTCTAGGTAACAAAATTTGATTACTTATTATTGTTTTTAGTAGTATTTGTAAAACATGATGGAATATAGATCGATTTTCCATTACAGTGCACCATCAGTTTGTCAGAATGGTACTACCAATGGTCATGGGCAATACAGTGGTGAATATATAAATGATGAAAGGTAAAATATGCTTAGCTTGCATATTTTTATATTTAATATTACACAATTTTCCAGTGCAAATTTGTCCCTTTTTAAGATAAGTTGTCTAAAATATAAATTTTTATCCTTTGAGTAAACTTCATTGGTTCTAATAATATTGAATTATTGGTGCTAAAATCAGTGGAGTAAAGGGTTTTTAAAATCTTTAAACTTGTTTGTAAAGAGAAACATTTTATGAACATTTAATTTTTATATTGTGCCTACTGTTAATTAAAACTCTTATAAAAATAAGAAATGTATTTACTACTAGCAATTAAGAAAGATGTGGTTGTAAAGTTAGTCTGATACTTTTAAATAACAAATTTCCTTATGATTATATGATATTTTTTATTATATGTGGAAGACTGGGGTTAAAAACATATGAACGAATTTTAATAAATTGATTTTACAGTATAAAGCCTTACTTGGAAAAAACAGTGGTATGTGAAATTTCTCCACTGATAACATATGATGGTGAGGTAAGTATTTTGTAATAATGTTTTGTTTTTTTTTACATTTTCTGTAAATTAATTTTATTAAATATTTTAATATATTATTGACTGACTAAATTTTTTTGCTTAATTCTAGCATCAGATGTAAATTTTTGTAATCATTATTCATCTGAAATACATCATGATTTTTATCCTACCAGAAGACACACTTGTTGAAGAGATTACTTAGTTTCACATTATTCCATTCTTAAGCATTTGTATATTTTGAATATGGTAAATATTTGTGTTGTAATTATTCAGAAGATTGTTTTGAATAACGTATTGCATTTTTTAAGATCTTATTAATTTTGAGTTTCTGTTAAAATAAGTTTATTCAAATTTGTCTCAAATATTCAAAAACTAAGAATTATATCACCAAAAATATTTAATTAATAGAAGAATTTAACATCAAATACTAATTAATATAAATAGTTGCATACATATGTAAAATTAACTTCTACAACTGCAACCAATTTTACATTTATGTTAGCTACTCTTCAAAGTCTGCTGCATTCTTAAATGTAGTCTTCTGTTTGGTAATTTAAGAATAAAAGTAAACTACAAAGAGTAGCATTCCAAAACATTCTCTACATGTGTAAGAAAATCTTGAAGCATAGTAGTTCCTTCAGTCATTAAACTGATGCATAAAAAAACTATTCAGAAATATCAAATGTAACCCTTAGTCATTTACCTAGCCACTACTAATAATTAATTTCAATGTAGTACAAATAATTAAATGATAATAATTCATACAATCATTATAAAAACCTTTGTTAAAATATGTATATTATTGCTGAAAAAATGTCCAATTTTTTAAATAATGAATACATTATATGGTATTGTTTGAAGCATCACAACAGATTGCTAGTGTTTATGTAAATTTTTTTCAGCTGGTCATTCACTTTTGTTTGTTTTTGACAAAGGCTTGTTTTGTTTACTAATTTTGGTAACCCAAATCAAAACTTAATACTTGAAAAAGATAAACATTGTAATTTCATAACCCTTAATTATGACTTCAATGGAAATTAATTCATTAAAAACTTTTATCTTTCAGGGTCTTGAAGAATTTGTGAAAGGCAAGATTTTTGTCCCTCCTGTAATTTTGAACTTCCAACAGGGGCACAACCTCCATCAGTGTGGTGCTAATAATATTAGAAGTGACTAATAAGAGATCTTCTTAAAATACTTCAATGCATTTTATTCCTAAAGTGCCTTTCTTCTTAAGATGGATTGGCTGTAAAATATTTTCTTAAATTAGTAGTCATTCTCACAAACAATGATTGTATGTGATTTGGGTATAAACTTTAGAATATGAGTATACTTTTTTGAGGAAGTGAGGCTTGAATTTATAAAAATGATATGATCACCTTCCTTTTTGGTCTAGTTTTTAATTTATAAATGTACAAAGTAAAGTATTTGCTTTAAGCAATTTTATCTATAAAAATAATACAAGATTTTTTTTCATTTCATTCCAGTTTTCTAATATAAGTTAATTCAAATAGAATAAATAAATAAATAACAGTAATAGTAAACAATTTGGTGTGAAAATGATTAAATAATTTGATGTTAATAATAAAAAAAACTGTAAGCCTAAATCTGATGTCTAATGACTTAAATAAAATCGATATCAATTAAAGTTCACCAACTTAATCTAGTTTGCAAGGAAGCAGTTTTTGTTCAAGCAACTGACAATATAAATAGTGTCTTGACCACTGCTATTTGTCTGTTATATACTAACTGGCCTGATCATCCTGTATTGGATAAAAGGCGTCATTAGTACTGTATGTAGCAGACATCAAATGGTAGATATGTTTTGAAATTATTCTATAATTTTGCTCATAAGCTCTTATACTTATTAATTTATACTTTTCCCACACCGGGATGAAAAATACTAGTTTGCTAGTTCTTCTGAATGATGAGTAAAATAAACAATTTGATGTTAATAAAGGTATAAACAGAATTCCAACTTAAGTAAAATACTGAAATAGTCGTTCAAGCAATGGTTGATATAAATGGTGTCTTGACCACTACTATGTCTGTTGTGTCCAAGCCAGTCTGATGAGCCCTGGTATTAGCAATTGGGCAAAAGGCCCCACAGGCACTGGATATAGCAGATATAATGTGATTAATGTATTATTATATTCTTCTTTATTTTCACTCAAAAGTTCTTACAATTAACAAGTATAAAATACCCACACTCCATGTTGCTGGGGTCAAAAGCCCACTCATCATTTACAAAGGCTTCTGTGTATTGATCAAGCTCCTTCATTACTTCCAGTTACTTCTGTAGAAATCCCAAAGAGTGTGTGTGTGTGTGAGTAGGAGGGGGATCAGTATTAGAACAAAATTCCTTTTAGAAACTCACCTGTAGTATCTGAGCATGTGTGCTAAGTATGGTCCCACAAGCTTGTGATTTGGGTATTATGAACAAAGTTTCAAACATGGCACTCGTGGAATTCCAAGGGGTAGGAATACCAAATCCAATGCCAAATTTGGATTCAGTGACCCTTAAAACATACTCCTAGATCACTATCATGCCAGGGTGACCTTCCAGGGACATTTTAGCCCCCCCTTGGTTAGAGGCTACACCATATAGATAAAGATACCCCTAACTTTGCTAATCAAATTTAGTCCTACTAGCTCCAAAACTGTGGGAAAAAGTTTGTGGACAAACAAACAAATTTACAAACACAACATGAAAATGAATTTAAAAGGATACTAGTTACTATAATTACTACTATTCTTGGTACATTTAAATTCCATATATAAAATTATACACAGAGATACACCATTTATATCATCATTTTATATATATTTGTAATTGGTTCTATGTTTAAAACAGTATTTAGTCACTATGTATTTTTTTTAAATTTGTTATCACTGTTGATAAAAAAAATATACTACATTAAAACTAAAGCAACCTAAGTGCTAACTATGAAAAATTGCTTATATATTAAGTTTTAAGAATGTCATTTGAAAAATGCATGCATCTTGATATTTAAAATTTAAATTTGCAAAATGAAATCAGAGGCAGGAAAATGAGGTTTTGTGTGGCTTTTATGTTAGCATTTGTTCCATTTTGAATTTGTAACTTTGTACATATTTTGGGAAAAATCAAAACCAAATCATTTCTTATACTATTAATACACTTTCACTAAATCTGTAAAAATTATTGTTATATATTCTTTATTGAGAATTGTATAAATTAAAGAAATTTTAAACGAACTTGATTTTAGTGGTATAGATAGTTAACCAATGTATAGTTAAGTTGTTCTTTACTGAATAGAAAAATATAAAGCTTGAATCAAGCATATTTCATACATATTTGCAAATATGAATTATTTTGCTAGTATTTTCAAAATTTCTTATAATAACTATAAGTTGTAACTAATTAACTGAAATAATTATTTTTAAAAAAAGTTATTTTTTTAACATTTTTTTATTATTCATTTTCTATAAAATTTATTTAGTTAGATCCTCAGATGATAGAAAAATATCTAACTGCTGTACTTATGTGTTTTTCTGACCAATGTCATAATTATTTTATATAAAACCTGCCAACCAGAGGGGCAAAAAGATTTAAAGAAGCAACAGAGGTATTAACTTTCCCAAACCAAGCAATGTACTGTATGTTCCTATTCCAAACAGTTAACCAGTATACAGTTGTTATTGATTAAGTAAAAAAAAATCTATAATTTGGGTAAAGCACATTTTGCTTAATATATACATATTTCTTAAAATTTTCTAGATGGTGAATTATTTGCTACTGTTTTTTAATCTTGATAATAACCAGTGATATCTTTTAATTTCAAAGCCTAGTGTTTTCATGTTAAAAGTACAAAATATCCCTTTTAACAATTTGAAATTGCTAGAAGTATCAAAAGTGATATAATACAGTTGTTTTGTTTTAAAGATTTGCTGGCTGATTCTAAAGTTAAAAAAAAAAAAAACAACCTTTACTCTCCAGAAAGTAGTAATAAAGTTTTTTTCTTATTATTACTATCTGTAGAGTAAAGGTAGTTCTTTTTTCTGTGGGAACAGGTGTTTTAATTTAGCTTTCTTTTAGTCTTACTCTATTGTGAAAATAAAACATTTTGAGAATACAACCATTTCTCTTGAAGCAAACAAAACTGAGCCAACATACAATTAACATATACAATAGATTGGAAACACTTAACTTTGTTTTTTTTCACACTTAATCCTTACACCGATATCAGTGCACTCTCTGAAAAAAAAGAAAAAAAAAAGAGTTAAAACCTTTGCAATTCAGTTAGTATGAAACAGGTTAACAAAAGAGCAGAAGAAAGGAATGTACACCAGATTTGGTGATGTTTTTCCGGTACTTTTTTTTGGAATTTTGTCCTAAGAATTAAGATCTACTGTTGATATCTATATAATTAAAAGAGTAATGTGTGTGCAAGTATGGGAAGCTTTTTAAACTGCATTAAACTATGCACAAAAATTGAATTAGGATAAGGGAAGTATGCACAATGTAACCTTATGCATAAGGGAAGTGTGGGTGTAGACAGTAGTCCTATGCATTGGAAAGGGAAAGGTACTTAGGGAATTGATGTATTATTACTCAGAGCCCCATCTCAGACAGCAGCGTTTGTGTGTGAATTTCTTCATTTGTTTATAGATACTTACACTACGGGTTCCATCAGACAGTCGAGTAGAGACCTCAGAGAAATATAATTGAGTTTTAATACTTGCCTCCAATACCCAGGTTTTGAAAGCATTGCTAGATACGGTGTCTCTTACTAGATAAGTCAGTCAGTTTGTCATTTTTGATTGGATCATTCAGCTCAGAGTGTACTAGGCATGTTTTTAATGTTTGGTAAGTATCACATTTTGTGAAATATATTTAACCCATTTAGGTTTAATCTCACAGTGATTGAGATACCTCACACGGCCATCAGCTTCATTCAGAGCTCTACATACCTAACTTCATATGCGAGTAGTCTAGGCAGGTTACTTAACTGTAAGGACATAGGAGTGATCCTCATTGGTTTTAGATTATATAAATTTTGTGCATTCAAATACAAAATACCACAACTAAAAAATGGTTTTTCCCTGTAGTATTTCTTTAAAATAACAAAATGAAAAACTTAAATGATTTTGCCAATTTTAATTGAAACTACATCCTAGGTAGGAGGGATTGGTGAATTTTGAATGATGAGTGCTTTGAGTTTTCATTGTAAGTTATAGTACTGAATTCTTTCTTTCTGAATTAGCAGTGTAATTTTATGTGAAAATTAAGCATTTAAAAATTTCAAATACAGAAAATTGCATGAATTGTAAGCAAACATATTTGGATACAGAAACCAAGATAAAATTTCAACAAAATGAAAGCAGTATCTTTAGTTTTTAAATGAATAGTTACAGTTAAGCCTATATATTTGAATTTGCTTATCTCTTATTATGAGTATGACAAAGATTGCTTGGATTTTCTTAACTTTGTTTTTTTTTTTTTTTATAACCTAATGAACAATAATTTCAGCAAATAGTATTTCATTAAAATAATGTTGTGAACTATGCTTTTAAATATTTAGATGTTTGTATTTTTGACTAGAGAGAGTTTTAGAAGTGATGTGATGTAATGTGCATGCAATGTCTCGAACATTCAAATAAGTTGCACACAGAACTGCAATATACACTTATAAGCACCTTAAGATTGTTGTACAGTTCTTTGAATTAGTCAGTATACTTTTTTTAGGATACTGGAAGTTGTGTATATATATTAATTGACATCACAGTAAATTAGGCTTGGCTATGAAAATGCAATACAATCACGAATGTGAGAGAAGATTAAAAAGTATAAGTATGAAATGAAAGCAAGGTTATCTTGTAGCTCAAAGAAACTGGTCCTAAACACTGACAACATCTATATACTATTTCACTCACTAAATTTGCAAGAAATAATCTTTGTAGATATCATCAAAATTTTCAGGTCTTTTAGTCATATTTAAAATACTTAAAAGATTATAGAGCAATGTTAATACCAATCAAAACCCATGTGACCCAATCTAATAGCCACATTACACACTATGAAAAATGATAAGTTATTCATAAACATGTTAGGATTATTACAATAAAAAATAATAATAAAATTCACTGCTTAGTCCTAAAATGGAAATTATTGCTTTTTTAAAAAATCTTGGTACTTTATTAAACATGTTTGCCAAAAACTAATGGTTTTATTGAAGTACCACACAAATTATCTTTGTTTGATACAAACTTACCCCCCCCCCTTTTTTATGAAGAAAAGATGGAAAAATATAAATAACTTTATATTTAACAAAATCTAATGTTAGATTATAAAGAACTGTTTCATGGTTTGTAATACCAGAGCATTTTATGAATCCTGGGGCTTGGTATTTTAATGACTCAAATCTCAGGATCTTGGCCAAGATTCTAATTAAAAAAATTTTTCACATGCTAATTTGTCTTCATCAAAAGCAATCAAACTATCTGCACTCCTTATCTAACTTAAACGATTAAAAATAATGTGAAAACTGAAGATTGGTAAATCTAAATATTTGCACAAACAGCTTTGACATTAACATTTATCTTACCTTATTAGTGCTTGAATTGGATCACTTTTTTATTTACATCTGACTGCATCACCATCATCCCCCAAGAAGAGTTGATCAGTATTCAGAATGTAAGCAATTAAACGTGAGTACAGGTAGTCTTCTATTAACTTTTAATGAAGTTTAATTAAGAAACTGCATTAATTAAAATTTGGTTAAGTACTGCCCCCTGTCAGAAGAAAAAAAAAGGAGACATCAGTGACCCCTCTCTGGTCTGGAAATGGTTAGTACAATTCTGAACATCCTGGGTTCTCTTCAATAAATCCCTAGATTTGGGGAGACCCACTAGCATACAGGATCAATGGATCAGGTTTACAAATCCTAAATATTATATTCAGGTGAATTATGAAACACAAGGATTAAGCAAAACATACTTCGGGATATTTTTAAAAAAGTAATGAAAGAAAACCACATATGCATCTGGGGATTATGTATAATTTTGCATTTATTCAAGCTTTAAGGTACAGTCTCAATAACTTTGGCCAGGAAAAAAATCCTTAGTATAGATAGATAGTTACATACACATACAACAAGTTTTAGAACCTGATTTCCATGAAATTAACCAGCCATTTGTTTTACAGTTGTTAGTTGACAATTTATATACTTAATGTAATAAATATTCAATATACTGAAGTTCATTATCTCTGGATACATAAATATTGAAATCCTTTTTATCAAGGTTCCTACTTTTTCTCTTTATTCTTCTTTATAATTACAACATCACTTTCACAAACAATACACATTGGAAAACTGTTATCAAAGCATAAAATGAAACAATGGTTCTTGGCAGGATAAAAGAAACATCCTTACAATTTCAATTTTACACAGTTAAATAAAAGATTTAAAAGAGCATTTCTAGAGATAATTTACTTGTCTAAAATGGTTTTCCCAACTCATCTTCAAAACAGTGCTTTAACCTATGTTTTTTAACTCTACTACTACAGTTTAAACATCTTTGACGATGCTCACAAGTCACATGTATTTATGAGAGTTGTTGAATAAAACAAATACAATGTATTTTGTCCATTTAAGGTTGTTAATTATAATTGTGATACATGAAAATATTATTAGAGAAAACACAGTGCAACTTTCAGAGAAAAGATACAACTAACTTAAACATTGTATTCCACAAATATATTAACCTTTGATTAGAAAACACAAAAACTAGTATTTCTTTGAAGTGGATATTATTATAAGGTATTTTCAACTTACTAAACTTATCTTCTAATTATTCAGACTTGGGTAAATATATCAATATTTTTTCACATGACTTATGTCTGACATAAGTACAATTAAGTCACTGGTGTCAAACAGAAAAACAAGGATTAGACATAAAAACTATTATTAAAATTCACAACTGCAGCACTTTTTAAAATATATTTTGCTACTCCCCAATAAAAAAAGGAAAATGTTTTTAGTAACTCAAATGATTTAAAGGTACAAGTACATTAAATATATTAATTATTTTGTTACAATCTAATGTTTATTCTAATATTTCAATAAAGCTTGTATAGTGAAAAATGTATAGGAAAATTATTAATTAAACAAGAATTATATAAATACCATCTTTTGAGCATCAGCATGAACTCCCTCTTCAAGGCACTTTCAATTAAAATTAATCTACTATGTTATCACCAACCTTGATTAAGCAAAAAGCTAAGATAAAAAAGATAAAAAATTAAAAGATCATGAAGCTTCCAATTCATTCTATACTGTTAAAAAATTATTAATAACTTCATGGTCTTAATGACTGCATGCATAATAAACAACACTTACGGTAAACAAACAAAAAAGTAAAACAATGGGGAAAGAACCAATCAACACCACCTTAATAAATAATATTCCATAATTATTATTTTAAAACCAGAACCAGAGCTCACCACATTCCTCACATACAAATACAGCCAGGCTAGGACTGTAGGGTCCATGTGCTAGGAATAAAACCTGGTTTCCTGGTAGTGAGTATGCACTGAAAAAACCTACTCAATTAGCAAAAACAACAAACATCTGTTGTTTAAATCAAATGCAAAAATCATACCAATTCTGAGAAAAAATAAAAAATCATGGCTATATCTCCAGGGATAAAATTCATCCTAGAATCCCTGAATGGTCCAAGCCTGGATACAGCTGAAGCATTCTCTGGTTGAAACATTGAACAGTATCAAAAACTTTGACAATCTTGATATTTTATCATGTAATAAAACATGCACATATATATATATCTATTTAAACTCATCTAATGACAAAAGAAAATTCAAACAAATATGAAAAATCCTAGCTGAATCTGTTAATAGTACAAGAATAAAAAAACGAGGATTATTTCTAAGATAATTTACTGTTTCAAATCTTATCTTGTTTCTGTTATGAGCTGATGCAATAATTATATCAGGACAGTTACATGTGTACAAGTTTTCCTGCCAGTAGAACAGACTTTAAAAACTACATTAGCTTGGGTACAGGAAAATAATGTAATATTCTGTGATTTCAGTGCATGCACAGAATGATTAATTCTACATAAAAGTTATAAAAGTCTTGCCCTGAGAGCATCTCCAATTGACATGTGCTTAAAACAACTAACTTTATTAATTTCACTTACCTTTGAATAAAATCTAGTTTTATCTCTACACATTTTAAAGGAACTGTTCATTTTCATAATGAAAATATTTAAGAACATGCAATTCAATCTTTAATTTTACGTATAGTTGCTTAACACAAAACACAAAGATACATAAATAAAACGAAATTTAAGATAATAGCTTTATAAATACGTAAGAAAGGTTAATTCTAACATCAGAATAGACCTTAATAATAAACAAAAGTTAAACATTTACAGCTATACCAGAGTATCCTACATGTTATCACAGTACTAAGATTATAAGACTAAACTGTTTTTCTTTATTCAATAAAATTAATTTTAATTTTAGTTAATGTCAATATCAAACATATATTTACGTTCATTTACTGATGGCCAATATCAAAGAAGCTAGCTGCAGAAAAGTTGTTAAATTACTACACAAAATAAGCGTATCACAACTCTAACATAGCACCACATTTCATACAAGTTTTAATTTTCTTCTGTTCGATGCTAAATACTACTAATCTCTTAACTTACACAACATTTCACTAAACACAAATGTGAACAACTTTTGACCTTGTATAGTTCTGTCTAAAACAGTTTCGTGTGTAAAATAACAAATCTTTCAGATCATTCTTCCTGAACCAAACATACTTGTTTCACACACACATGCACACTGAAGCATTATATATCAATTATTTCTTCAAAATATTTATTTTAATTTTTCCTAATTAACAAATAAAAAAAAAGCAGTCGTACACAAGGAATTCCTTGTTGATTCCTTTAAGGCAAATATTGACAGGATAATTATCTGAACTACTGCTGTATTTAAGTGATTAGACAAAGCAGACTGCATTTAGAGAATGAAGAATACCAATAGCTCTAACTATTATAACCTTAAGACTAACTGCCATTTTATACCTCAGTTTCTTACAACTCTGATGTTTCAAGTTTACCACACTGCTTTTCTTCTATCTTGTTTTCAGGAGGTAACACCTCTTCTTTTGTCATCTGCATTACTTCTGACTTCTTTACTTCTTCATCTTTGCCTTCCATCTCCTGTATTTTTTGTTGAGTATTTTCTTGTAGTGTACATTCTTTTTCAGGTATTTCAACAGCCTTTCCCTCATTCACATCACTTTTACCCTGTTTTATACTCTCGTCATCAGGCTGTTGGATATCCATGGATAAAACCTTTTCAGCCTTTGAGGAAAGCTGTTCAACCTTCTCATTTCCAGCTGTATCACCCTCTTTTGATGAGGTAGACTTCTTTTCTGTGTCACCAGTTTTTTCAACAGCCTCAGTTTGTTTATCGGTTGATTCCTGACAAGTTTCTACTGGAGTTTTTTCTTGTATAATTACAGAAGTGTCTGGTGTTGTACTTGGTTGAGAATCTGTGACTATAAAGCTTCCTAAATCAGGACTTGAACCTTCATTACTTCTTTTTGGTTCCTGAAGTTCCTTTTTTGGTTCCTAATATAGATTTTATTTTCAGAATTAATTAGACATACAAACAAATAAATAAAAACAGTATTATTCTTAACATCTTTATCTTGTATAAGGTAATACATCTCTAACTGGAATTTTTATAGTACCTAACTCACAAAGATATACACCAGTGGTCGGCAACCTATAATCCGTGAGTCACCAAGTGACCCGTGGCAATGCTTTGGCTGACCCATCAAAAGTTGGCTTCATCATTGCAACCTGTGAGGGCTATGCGAGGGCAAATTTCTTGGCTATGTGAGAAGAACAAAAATATTAAAGGAAAGAAGGAAAAAGAGTCATGGTACCGAAAATTTTAGAATCAATTTTAGGGAAAAATATTCAAGCTGGTTGAACTGTCTGTGATAAAACTTTTGAACGTAATGCTTCAGGTGTACTGTGCTGCCAAGAGATTCTTTGCTTGTCTGGCAGAAAGTGCTGTGTGTGATATATTTTGGTGTTTTTGTAGGTTTTGAGGTGAGTATATGGCAAGTTATTTATATTTACCAGTAAGTAAGAGTTTCAGGCTATGTATAAGTGATGGTAGTGTTTTATTTGTAACAACAGAACAGACGTGAAGGCTAGATAAGTTGCTTCGTTTCTTTTTCTCTACCATCATGGCTGCAGGGTGATATCACCTCGCTACTCACATAGCTGAGACTGAACAAAGTGTAAAAATGTACCATGGAAGTCATTAAATTATGTGTTGCAAAATCAATCAAGAACTGTTTATTTTTTGTTGTTAAATGTATTTGGTAACTGAAACATCTTGTTTGTTTTTGAAAATATTTAATTTTATTTGCTTTATGTAAATAAACATATACATTTAAATACATGTACTGGTATTAAGAATCATATGATTATCACTGACCCAACACAATGCTAAATTTTTAAAAAATATATATAAAATTGACCCGTGATAAAAAAAGGTTGCTGACTACTGATATACACTAAGGAAAGGATACAGGAAATATTTCTAATAATGTGCCACTGAGCAGTCTCATAAAGATAATCTAAAATTTGGAACTTTCATAACAATATACTAAATATTACAATATTTACACTAATATAATATTACTAGTACCAAGAGGAAAAACGTCAACCTGAAATCTGAACATCATTGGTACACGAATGTGAATTACTTACTGCTCTAGGTTTGAAAAGGCCCATCCTAGGGAAGAGCGAAGTGGTTTAGTGTGCAGTCTGGTCGTAGGCACACTGTGGTTTACAAGGTACAGGGGAAGGAGAAGAAAAAGAAGAAAACTGATGTTTTTTGCAGCCCCTTTTCTTGACATCAAGGAAGGTTAGCTGACCTTTAGAGGCACTTTTGTACTTAGTGAAAGGCATTCCGTCTCTATCCCTTTGTCTGGGTTTGGCCAAAATCCTGGCATATGAGCCATCATATGCAATGTACAGGCCATCAGTTTTAACTGGACTCATCCCTACATAGAGATTGCTACTGTGCTCCCTGATAAACATACAACTTAGATGTTTTATGATGTTACAAAACACATGTTAAATCTGATAAGATTACCATCAGAGGTTGCACCATCTATTGATTTATATGCGTATTGGGCAATATTATACAATCTGTATTATTGCATATAATTTGGGCTGTAACTAACCTATCTTGGATTACTTGGGTCTCTAGGTTTGAAAGACACATCTTAGGGAGTAGTGAATTATTTTGGTGTGCAGGCTGGAAAAAGGAATACTGGGTTTATGAATTACAGCTGATGGAAAGGAAGAAAAATGACAAAGAAAATCAATGTTTTTCAGCCTGTTTTCTAGACATCAAAGAAGAATATCTGAACTTTAGAGGCAGTTTTATACTTAATCAGTGAAGTCCTTTCTGCTGTCCCTTGGGCTAAGGTTTGTCAATGTCCTAGCATAAATGCTACCGTGTTCAAAATTTACAGGCTGCCAATTTCAACCAGACTGTTCCCTACATAGGGATTGCTACCACACTCCCTGATATGGACTTGTTACTTAAGCTTATAACATTCACACTGGTAGAAATACTACTTATTGTTAGTATTTGTTAAATTTTGCAAGGAAATGTCACACTGATATTACACTTAGACAATTAACTTGATTAATCAATGTAATCGACAACTTGTGAGCATACATTACATTGATTAGAGTCACACAAAATAACTGATTAGTCAAATAATGGAAATTAGTGTTTCTACTTATTACTGTTTATAATTATTTCAACTATCCAAGAAATTTAAATATTGCCATTATGATTTCTCATTATTATTTTTGATTAATTCAAGGTTGTTCAGCTTAATGGATTAGTGCCACAACTCATAGAAATAATCAAGTAACCAAAACTTAGTGTTTCCAATTATTTCAACCATCCAAGTCTTATGTAAGAATAATCGACTAACTGAATATAATCCACTAATGAGCCGGATGTTTAATCAAAAAGCAACTTCCACTGATCACTCAGCTATTAACATTTATAACTGTCAGACTGATATAATATTACTGGTATTTATTACATTGATGTGCTATAAAAAATAAGTTGTCATACTGATATACTAATATTTATAGAACTACTAACTTTAAGTGGCACACTACAAAGAATAGAAAATGATATATAAATGCAGAAAATAACACATATTACTATTGTTTTTCAAAGCCCACTAAACAAGACAGATTTATTTTTAGAAAAAATATAGGCAACAGGATTATGACCAAATAAAATGTGAACAGAAATACATAAATAAGGAAATTATGAGAAAGAGGAAGAAAAAACGTTTTTGTCACGATTAGATACAAACTTGTTATTGAAAACAAATTAATGAAGGTAACTGATATAAAAAGAGCAATCAACACCATAACAGTAAGTAGTAACGTACAGGTGTGTGAACTAGAACAACGAGAAAAACACTAGGAAACTACTGTAATCAAATAATACACTCATCAAACATTAGCACCAGAACTTTTTGTAGCTATATATAATCATGGGAATTATTATAATAAGATAGAGATGGTTGTAACTTCTGTGATGATAAGCTGATACTTAACAATTAGAAACTTACGAGAGAAAATAAAACTTCAGACACAATAAGATACAAACACTAGGAATGCCTGAAATGGGGGGAAAAAACATGGGAAGCAATTAAGATATGGTAAAACGATTAAATTACCACAAAGGAACGTCAAAAATTAGAAAGATCATGCACTTGGAATTTCTATATGATCATAGCTTACTTGCGTCACTGCAGGCTCTGATGCTTCTTTACTAGAAGAGTCAATACTCTTCTCTGTAGTACCATCTGAACATGATAATTGTGTATCTGTACCTTTAACAGAAATAGCATCTTTAGAAAGAGTTTCCTTTTCTAATCCAACAGTTTGTACTTCTGTCTGAGGTTTGACTTCCTCCACTGTAGGTGGGACACTAGTTTGTTTATCACTGACTAGATCTTTCTGAACCTGTTCAGAAGCATTCAGGTCAGCAGTAACTGTTTGGTCACTTTCCTCTACAATAACCTTGGAAACTGGTACTTCTTCAGATCTTACAGTAATATCATCAGTTGTAGTCTTGGAAACTGGTAAATCAGTAGCTTTTGCACTGCTAGACTCCTCAGTGCATGGAACATTCTCATGACTTTTCTGAGATGTTGGAATAAGATCAGCTGTGTCAGAGGATGGCTGACTATGTTCTTCAGTTGGTACACTAGATTTCTCAGTTGGTTCTTGGTGAACTTCTTCAGGAATCTTTACAGAGGCTGGAAGTTCTGTAATCTGTTCAGTTGTCAGTGTTTGGTTGGATTCTTTAAGGCGAACCCCTTCGTCACCAGGTATTTTGCTAACTTCGTCAGAGGTTTTCTCAGAAGGTCCAGCTGTAGCAATATTCTGATCCATTAGAATTTGACCAGGTTCAGTAACAGATGCAACTTTCTCTGATAACACTTGTTCAAGTTCACCAGAGGTTTTATCAGTAACTGGACACTTAATCAGTACTTCAGCAGTTGGTACTTTATCAGTTTCTTGAAAAGATGGAACTTCCTTTTCTGGGAGTTTCTCAAGAACTTCAGTAATTTCTTTAGTAGTTGATGTTTTTCCAGAATCTGGTGAAACAGGAACTTTTTCTTCAGTTGGTGGTTCAGGTTTTGTTTCAGAAATGGGAACACTGGTTAAACTTTCAGCAGGACATACTTGGTCAGCTTCTTTATCTGAAACAGTTTCACTAATGACTTGACTAACTGGTATTTCAGGAACATTACTAGCAACTGCTTCTTGACTGGCTACTTCTTTAGTTGGTTTTTTTGAGTCAGTTCCTATAGCTTCTTCTACAACAGGTATTTCACAACTTTCCACAGGAGTTGTTGACACAATTTTAGGCTTCTCAGTTATAACTTCAGATGTTTTTGCAGTGTCTGATATTTCTTCACTTTTTTTTATTTCTTCTTGTTTTGGTTCAGATTCTGTAGGAGCTGTACAAACATCTTTATTCATATCTTGTTCCTTGACAGCTTCTTTGACAGTTTGGCTCATGGTATCTTTTACTTCCTCGACCTTCTGGAAACAAGAAGTATATAATCACATAACAATTACATTATAAATATTTTAGTATGTAAAAAACAAAATCTGCAATAATGTGTTTTATACATTATGTGAGTGAGTGAAAGTGTGTGTGTGTGTGTGTGTGTGTGTGTGTGTGTGTGTGTGTGTGTGTGTGTATGTATACACTACTACACACGAACGGTAACTAACAATAACTTAAATTTATTACTATTATTAATAAATTTAAATTGTT